CTGGTTCATGAGAAAATCCATATTAATGTAAAGATTTACTAAAACTAAGTTTGAATAAGAAATTTCATGATCTTTAAGTTATAAACATATACATGTATGTATATCTCTTGGTAAGTTTTGTATAGCATACCTTTTATTGAGCTAAAGTTTTAAGCCTCTGAAATTACTCCTTTTCTTAAAACCTTCACATTCAAGGTATTTAGAATTTCTTAGAATTTATGTGGACCTCAGGGTATTTAAATTGCCTCAAATTCAATTCCCAGATATTCCCAAGAGTTCCACACTTCTTAAATTATAGGTAGCTTGTAAAGCTGAGAATTCCTAGGAATTCCTAGGGATTCCAAGTCCTCACAAAACTGGAGTCTTCCCAGAAATTCCCAGTAATTCCAAGCTTTTTAAATCAGAGTTAATTTGCATAGTTGGGAATTTTTGAGAATTCTTAGGAATTCCTAGGAATTCCCAGAAAACTGGAAATTCAGTTTGCGAGGGTCATTTGCATAATTGGGAATTTCGGAGAATTCCTAGGAATTCCCAGAAAACTGAGAATTCAGTTCGCAAGGTTAGGAGGTAGTAGCAACCATATGTCCGGTATTCTGGGAGGAACAGGTTCGAATCCCGTCGTAGCGAAGCCCGAATTTTTTCATTTTTCCCTTTTTTGCAACTTTTTTTTTTCGCTGTCCACGCGAGGATCATTCCTTTTTTAATTTTTTGTCCCCAAAGCGAGTTTTCGATCTGAATTCATAAACTCTGTTAGCTTGTATCTTTCTGCTTGCTCTGAGTTTCACTTTGAACTTTGAGACTTCCTTATTTGGAGGACTATTAAAAAAAAAAAGAATTATAACGACTACTCTGATTGGTTCTTTTACATTAGCTTTCCCAAATATGGCGACTTGTGGAAATTGCGCCAGCGTGATTTTTGAAAACATAGTCCACCATCACTTCTAAGTTTCGTCCTTGCGTAAGATCTAACTTTCTGGTCAATTTACTTGAAGTTTTAAAGTATTGTATAGGAGGTCAAGCGTAAACATTTGGGTATATCGAGTTTGATGATGTCGGAGTCCGCTTCACCAGAAACAGGAGACTTGGTAGATTTTTCATCAGGCATGGAGGATCAGGAGGATGTCTCCTCGACTACACCATCTTTGGATGACATTGTAAAAGACGAACCATTGCCAGAAGGTGAAAACGTGCCTGATGAAAGAGAAGAAACGTCGGCTGTCGAAGATCTAGTATCAGAGCAAGTAGAATCGGAAGAAAAACCAGAAGAACCAGCCACGAAAGGTGAGATTGGCAGTTATGGCTGATGGTTGTACATGTGTATTTATGTACTGTACTAAGGAGCGGTAAACTTATTGAACTGGTTTGCGCGGATGATGTAAAGTAGCAGAGCTAATTACGTTTGATTTTTGTTGTAACTTTGCAAATGTAGTTCGAGGTAGAATACAAGAAGTGCACCTTATTCTGAGATCGATTGCCGGCAAACGAACATAGAGACAGTGAAGAAGGATTACTTCAGTAGGCCGTGAGCTAATATTTTGTTAAAAAAATTTGATCTTTGTTGTATTGTAGAGCTGACAAGTTGGCCGGCGGTATGGATGAAACAAAACGGCGTGGATCAACGAGGTATATAGCTCTCAATAATCGGGAATATTTAAGTAAAGGTTCATTGTTGCTTAGATGACCTGCGGAGGCGAGCGAGGCACTCGACACGACAGAACGTGTACAAGATTTTCTTTGTTGGCCATCGAAGTTGATTCTTCATCGTCGTTGAAATCAATATCTCGTTAAAAAAAAAATAAATGTTGACAGTAAGGTAATATATTTTATTTACTGCGAATTCAATTGCACGGACTTGAAACTGTGATACGGTGTTAGCTACTGTAGACCAGGGCGCTGTCTTCAAAATGAAAACATATGAAACGATGGTCGCACCCTGTTCATTGCTTTATTGGAAACTTCATTCGTTTATTAAATCGCAACTAAAGCCCAGAATATAGGGAGGAATTGAGAGTTAATAGCTTCATTATGGTTAGGCAATTTTCCCCATTTTAAATTGGCCTTGAATCGTGTATTGGACTCTTCTCCACACATATGACCATGCCATTTTGTTTACAGGAGAAAGTGAATCATTCATTTTCAATTCAAATCTATTCGTATTATGTTTTTGCCCCAGATATTCATAGAAGTTCTTTCCAGTTGACTGACATAATTATTCCCTATGATTATGTCAAACTGAATTATTTATAAGTAACCACCTTATATTTTGGTTTTTGACTAAGATTTGGGGTGGGGTCTATAAACTAACTTAAATTTTTTCAGTCACATTCTTTTCTGATAAATTTTACTTTTCATGTAGCAGAGTTTCTTGATTTTTCTATGAAAGTAAGATGAGATCAATGCTTCTTAGAGTTTTCGATATTACACCTGCTGGTGTATTTACAATATTCCTTTCAATCCTGTTGCTCTTGTAGATTCAGTTATTTGATCCTATCTTGCAGAGGAATTGTTTTCAGCTTTTATATAAGAATACACCTCCTCTGTGTATCTAATGCTGAAAAACTCCTTGTATGGACTGTTCCTTTTTTTATGGTACAGGTTATTAAGCATTCTATCAGGATTAGAATTTAAATCTACTTTGAAATAATTCCACACCCTATATGCTTGTACAAGATTTAATGTAAAGTCAAACGTTATGCTTATTTTTTGAGTGAATTTGCATTTTCACTTTCGTATTTTGTATTGTGGTGGTTCTGGTCTAAGAGACATTCTTCTAATGAATT